CGATTAATACCGTCAATGAATTTTCTGTCTGTTGCAATCATGCACCAGTGGTAAATGAACTCTCATTGGTACCGAACTGAAACTGAACATTTTCTAATGACAATTCGGTCAATAGATTTGACGAACGTATCCTTGTGATAACAGAAAGCATTGTGATAGAAATAAGAACATGCTAAATACAAATATTTAAAAAAAAACTATCATGAATGCAAGCGCTTCAAAAGAATATCGTTGCAGTATTGATCCTACCTGATACAAAGGCTTTATCTAAATACAGAACTGATTAGAATTTGATCCCCCCCCAAAAAAAAATGTATCCTACACCATTGTGCAAATTAACTGAAACAAAATGAATAATTATTATTTACTTATTTTTTGTATTTTTCAATGAAACATGAGCCAGTTCACATGTTAGTACTTTGTATGTCCATTCCACGAAGTCGTTCCTTGCAGATTGACTATAGATTTTCGATTGGATTTAAATCAGGAGAGTTTCCAGAACAATCTATAGTACTTTGATTTGCTCACTGGTAAGGCTTGCCATTGTGGTCATGCAGTGTTACAAATTGTCGTACGCTCCCTTAGAATAACGTCCATCGCAGACAATGACCGTAGGACAACTAATCGGCAGTCAAGACAATAGTGTCTGGACATGATAAAAATATGATGCAATCATAAAAGCCAAACAAATTTCATCATACACCTGGAAAATAGATTCATATTACTGCACAACACTTAATCAGAATAAATACTAGAAATCGATTACACCGTCACTCCAGTGGGTCATTTTTGAGTAGACGCTTCATAGGTTCAAATCTTTCCGGGTATGCATATTTTTCTTTAATAAGATTTTTCTAATATTCAGGCCGGTAGGCGAAAATAAATAAATATACTGTTTAATAAATGGCAATGAAGATGAGGATAACAGTCCGAATAATGTAATTAATGCAAGTAATCATAATACCTCATCTCAGAGATATAGACAGATATATAGCGACATTGACATAAAGGCCGGAGCGTACAACGGCCGAAACGTTGTGAATATGGCAATGAAGATGAGGATAACAGTCTGAATAATGTAAATAATGCAAGTAATCATAATACCTCATCTAAGAGATATAGAGAGAATATTTTTCTCTGCATTAACTCTCTTTCATATTGCTATAAACTTTCTTGACAGAAGACAGCTTTTCATATTCACTTAAACAGAAGAACTTTTCTCAATTGTAATTCAGTATGGATTCTGCTTTATTAGAGGTTGCTAACCATTGTCGTCTTCGTTTGAGATGATTATAAAGAATTCATTTTTCATTACCGCTGATGATTGTACACAGGAAAGGCTTGATAGCAAGTCTACTTTTCATTAGCGAGCAGAGGTCAGTCATGGCGTTGACTAAACTCCGAAGTAGTGAGATGATGAGAAACCCCATTGAACAAATGGAGACACTTTTTGAAATTCATGAACGGGTTTCCTGATCGAAGGGTGAGAAAAGTTTTTATGACCTTTATATCACACAAACTTTAAACTTTATATATATATATATATATATATATATATATATATATATATATATATATATATATATATATATATAAGACGTCAGAAAGTGTATGCTTATTGCTTTATATCTTTGTCTGAATTCCTGGGATGAGAAGTTATCATTATTTACACGTGTCCTCATCTTTGTTCTTGTTATCACAACATCTCGGCCATTCTGTTCTCCGGCCTTCATCATGTTTATGTCGATCCGGGTAACAACAACAAATCTGAAGACAATAGTCTGCATGAAAATAGGCTTCTTCTTCTTCTTCTACTTATTATTATTATTATTATTATTTTCTTTCAGAGACCTAAGGTTATAAATGGCATCATGACACTTTCCACTGACAAAAAAATATTACATGGATAAAGCCATTCGTAAAGTGTGGGCTGTACTTGTCAGAACAAATTTTTTGTATCTCTTTGAGGCATGGACTTCCAGGAATCCCTTCGATTAGTCTACTGGAATCTTTTCCAACCAATCCTAGAGTTTCAACTACAACAGGGATTGCTGATGTTCCCATATGCCACATTTTCGAGATTTCTCTTTCAAGGTCTTTGTATTTTGACAGCTTTTTGAATATCTTCAAAGATACATTGCAGTCATATCAATAAAGAGGCACCGTTTTTGTTTGTGGTCTTTAATAACAATGTCTGGGTGGTTGGCTTTGATTGTTCTGTCAGTGTGTATTGTGTAGTCCCATAGAATTGTAACAGGTGATATCTCCGTAACCGGGTCTGGTTGGTATTCATACCAGTTTCTTTCAAGTTTCCTTTCCGTAGAAGTTGCAGATTTTCCAGTGTAGATATTGGCCCACTCTGTCATGCCGGGCTTTATACTCAGTGGGTGACAATACCGTGCAACCTGATACAAGATGATCAATCGTTTCTGGATATTTATCACAGAATCTGCATTTTGGACTGACACAATATTTTAGCCTATGTGCTTGATAATTTCTAGGTAACAAGCATTGGTCCTGTGCCGCAAGGATAAAACCTTCAGTTTCAGCTTTCAACCCTGCACTACGTAGCCACTGATGGGTACGGGTTTTGTCTACGTCAGCTTGTTTGGTACGGGCAGAGTATTGGCCATGAAGCGGTTTATCTTGCCATCGCTTCTGTATCTGGTCGGTTGCATTCGTCTTTGCTGTCTTTTTAATGAGTTTATGGCCACATCACCTTAAAAACAATGGTTTCCGTACGATTATTATTATTATTATTATTATTATTATTATTATTATTATTTCCTTTGATTTCTGGCGTTTACACATTTCTTTCCGGGTCCCGCCCATGGACCTAAGGTTAGAAATGTCATCATGACACTTTCCACTAACAAAAAAAAAAAAAAGAAAAATTACATAACTAAAGCCCTTCGTAAAGTGTGGGCTGTATTTATCAGAACAATTTTTTGTATCTCCTTGAGGCATGGACTTCCAGGAATCCCTTCAATTAGTCTACTGCAATCTTTTACAACCAATCCGAGGGCTCCAACTACAACAGGGATTGTTGATGTTCCCATATGCCACATTTTCGAGATTTCTATTTATTATTATTATTATTATTATTAAAGCTTCTTATTACCTCGAAGTTAATTAAACACAGAAACTTTCTGTTCTAATAAACACCGTCCTGGGTATGACGATAATCTACATTCGCGTCCTGGGTAAAACGATAAACTACATTGGGCAGCAAGGCCTTTGATGAGAACGTTTTGAGGAGCATGGAACCACCTTTTAATTGCTGATGTTCCCAGGTCCACCCTGACCCGGGATGGTAGCATCTGTCAGGGTGGCAGATATGGGCAAATATTTAACCCCGCAAAATGGGCCAAAACACTATGAAAGTATAAAAATAAGCTGTCATACCAGCAATACTTTTTTGTAAACATTTTTTTACCAGCAATAGATTTTTTGAAAAAATATTATCAACAATACATTTCTGAAAAAAAAATTATTCCAATATATATATATATATATATATATATATATATATATATATATATATATATATATATATATATATATATATTTTGCCAGCAATACATTTTTGGAAAAAAATATTACCAGCAATACTTTTTGAAAAAAAATTATTATCAGTAATACATTTTTTTACCAACAATAGATTATTGGAAAAGATATTACTAGCAATATGTTTTTGAATAAAAAAATATTACCAGGAATTCATTTTCTGAAAAATTTTACCAGCAATAAAAATCTTGCATTAAATAACCCATTGAGGTTGTTAACCCGTAAACCAAACCAAACCAAACCAAACCTAATAAACAAACAGTAAATATATTCGTTAAGTAACACTTTCAATGACCTTGTCTCCTGATATTTCTGTCTCAGTTTCACACACACACATACACACACACACGTGCGCGCACACACACAGACACGTGCGCGCGCGCACATATGTGTGTGTGTGTATGTGTGTGTGTATGTGTGTGTGTATGTGTGTGTGTGTGTGTGTAATGAAATCTCTTAATAATCGGATATTATAAAAATAAAAAAGAAATCGTTATATATACTAGGTTATGTTGTAAAGTTGTCTGTCCGACCAAGAAATCATGAAAAATTTAGTCACTTGATCTCATTTTTGTATGTGAGTTAATCCGAGAACTTCTCAGCATCTATTCATATGTAAACTCTAGCCAATAAGTTTATTATATTATCAGGATGTTTTAGGTAAAGAATCCTCGTTCTAATATGCCTTTTAGATCTTTCTTCAGACATCTTATTTAAAGTATAGCAGATTTTCCTGGCAGTCATGTGTTCAGTCCCTGTGTCGGGTGGGCTTAAATCAAACATAGTCTGGTTTAATTGAAAGAAGGTAAACAAACCAAGAAAAAAATAACTGATAGGAAACTTCTAAACTTGGAATGTCGAATGAGAACAATCTATCCTCGTGGAACAAATGGTTTAGTCCAAAATTCCAAGAAAGTAACTGAGTAGAACGCCGCGTAGTACAAGGTCCGAAACGTTGAGAGAATAAAAACCAAAATCAGCATGCTGGTCGGAAAAAGCAAAGCAACTAAGACAGGCACCTGAAGAAGACCAGAAGGTATAAGGGCCGAAACGTATTGCGAGTAAAACAACCAGAATAAGCATTCTGATTCGAATATTAAGTCGTAGAAGTTTGAATTCAACACAATTTTGGTTCAGTCGAAATTTCACTGTTTATATAAAAAGAATTTTTCTAAGACATAGCTTTTCTCTTGGATCAACGCGATAATCATTTTATATATAAATAAAATCGCTCGATGTTTGCGAGTTCTCTCGTAAACGAACATTCCTATATTATCGATGTGTCGCTTCTGTTTGGAAGCAGCTCTGGTTGAATTAATCGAGCCGTTACCTAATAAAGAATGACTCTCCTAACAAACTCCATTTATAAAATTATTTTTTCATAATGTGAGAATTCATTTCGATTGAAAAAAAAATCTTCGAATGAGAAGAAAATGTCCCCCCACTCCCACGATGATGGCCAGGTTCTCTTCTCTGAATTCTTGAAACATCGAGTGTTTTTCCTCATTAAAATATTTATTTTTTCTTAAGAGGTACTACCAAAAATTTTGGGGAGCTTGAAGCACGGAAGAAAACAACAAAAGAAAGGACACTGTGAAGATTGGTGATCGCCCACATCCTAAAAAGACGTTAAATGCTTTCCAGAAAGAGAATGCATAAAATATCATGGGGAAGGGATTACGTAAATTGTGTGAAATATCCATTGAGACAGGGGTAACTTGCCAGATGAATAGATTGAGGGATCTTTTGTATTCCCCGAAATTTTAAGCCAGATTTTGTGAAACTAATATCTATCTATCTATCTATCTATCTATCTATCTATCTATCTATCTATCTATCTATCTATCTATCTATCATCTCAGTCTGTTCATGTCTATCTTTCTATGTATTTCATTCTCTGTCTATATTTCTCAGATGAGGTGTTATGTGCACTATTTACATTATTCGGACTATTGTCCTAATCTTAGTCGCCATATTTATTACAACGTTTCGGCCGTTGTACGCTCCGGCCTTCTTCAGATAGTTGGAATGTCGAACTGAACCCTTTATTTCGCTTGCTTGGTTAGACTGTTCTAGTTCCACGTGCCATATCTAATGAATGTTAGTTATCAGTTATCTCCTGTTAATTCCCCTCTTAGATAATTAGGCATTAGTTAGATCCAGTGACAGGAACCAAAAAGTGTGAGTTCAATGCCCGGTTGAGGCGGTGGAGAACTTGGAGCTGGGGACGGCCGAAACTTTGAGTAATGTAATTCTGTTCATATCTTCATCTCTCTCTCTCTCTCTCTATATATATATATATATATATATATATATATGTGTGTGTGTGTGTGTGTGTGTGTGTGTGTGTGTGTGTGTGTGTGTACAGTCAAAGATTACATAAATATTTTCTACAAAAATCAATTGCATATCAACTACAAACAACATGAATCTTCACTTAGCAATATTATAAAGAAATACACGACCCTAACTGACCCGAATAAAAAAATCCAATTAATTATCTACTATAAAAGTTTAACCTTATCCTCAAAAATAACAATACACCAGCAAAGTTAAAATTACAATGAACGAACATTATCTATGAGTTCAAATGCCCATTAAGGAACTGTGTTCCTGATTAAACGGAATTCATAAATAATTACATCAGTCACACTACTACATGCCTATCCAGACGACTTACTTTACACCAATCTGACCACAGATCTATTAGAACCAATTTAAGCTCACACACAAACCTAGAAGACTCCATTCGAAACATACTAGACGAAAACAAATATAATAACCTCATTTACCAGTAAAAAAAAGATTAAAAATAATGGAAACCCTAATAATAAAAAAGAAAACTCTTAACAATATTAACTATGAACACGGCCACAATGTGCTAACCATGTTCGGAAAATAAAGCATCTCTATAACACGCTAAAAACATACATATAACGCACACACTCAATTAAACTGAAAAAATAAAATCATCCTTGATAATGGCTAAAAGTATAGCCGAAAGCGCTTGGAATTATAAAACATTTGGACAGATTCTACACATTCTGTGTCTAAAAATGAAAGCTCTTGTTCAAACACAAGAAAAATTAAATAAAAAGCTTAACCGTAGTACCTTGTCTGTCGTTTTTAATAAAACATGCACACACACACACACACACACATATATATATATATATATATATATATATATATATATATATATATATATATATATATATATATATTACTAATGCAATAGTAGTATAGATCTAAGTCATTTCAGTCCAAAATAGAGGAGACTTTTTAAGATCTCGGCATTCCGTTATTTTCGCGTGTGTTGCTCCGATTGCCCAGCTATAGTTTAAATAGAAGGGTAGACTGGTTTCTCTAGACTTGAGCGACAACCAGCGTTGCGAAATACTGGCGGCGGCAGAAATAAACCCAGATATCTTAAAGGTTGTAACTGCTATTAAAAACCATATTTCACTATTGTTAAAGCAAACGGCTACAGTTTTTATTCAAGGCAAAGGGAAACCATTTTACGATCTTTCTCTAAAAGTCATCGCAATTCACAAATAAAAAAAAAGAATGAGTGGAGAACCATGATTGCTTCTCTCCCGAAGGGACATGGCATTTACCAAAAAAAAAAAAAAAAAAGCAGCGATTGATTATAAACAAGCAATGTATTTGAGAGACATGTCATTATTCTGTTATCCTGGGTAGTATTTCCTTATTAAAAAAACAAAACAAAAAACCTTCTTTATCCTCTCGACCAAAAACCTTTTCTGTCTGCCACCTGCTTCAAACACCCCATCCTTAACCTTCCTGTCTCATAACCATATGGAGACACGCCTCTTTATCGTATTAGGTAGACTGAACATTTAAAATAACAATTAATCTAACACTGTAAGCGCACGTATAAAGTTAAGGTTTTTCTAGCATGCCATTAGATAAGATGTCGCCAGATGAACATCCATAGCTATATTGCTATACCTACAAACCTAGAGCCTTGGCCCCTGCAGACGTCGGATGTCTGATATGGCCGATGTCTTGCGTGTCCTGACCGGATAACATCAGCTACAAACAAGCACTCAAATATCTAACTTCGGGGAGCAAAATTAATTAAACAAAACTACGTGTTTGTTTATAACTCTTATATTTATTTTACTATTTGTAAATGCATTACTTAAGGGAGGCACGGTGGAGTAATGGATAGCGGCTTGGAGGATTGAGGAATGGAGTTCAAATTCCAACCGGATCCATTACATTGACTTACGTGCTAATATCCTTGGGAAAGGTATGAATCCTCTTCGTCTCCCTCCCCTCAGCAGGACAGACTGGGTTCTATAGGTAGCAACCAGGGAAGGAAAATATCTGAAAATCGGCTATCTTGCCCAAGAAACCCCAATTCTCCGGCTGCAGTACACGGGAAAATGTATTCCTTAAATGTATATGACATAGATTTTATACAAATTTTGTAAAAAGTAAAGATATGTTGATACTTGATTCTTATACCACCATTATTATTATTATTATTTTAATACCACCATTATTATTATTGATACTAGATTCTAATACCACCATTAGTTTTGTTTTGTTTGTTTTTTTTTTGTTTTTTTTGTAACTGCTCCTTTTTTCCTCACCTCTTTTCGATGACAAGTTCCGAGACCGCTCTGTACTTAGATGGGGGATTGTTTGGGAACATCATGTGTTGTAAGCGACCTCCTACAATCCGATTTCGGCTTTAAATAACCCCAAAGGGTTGATAAACCGTAAAAAAACAAGCCAATAAATCAAATATTATCCCCACTATCTTTGTACTGTACCAAATTAGGAATTCTAGATCTAGATTAGTGGTCATTGATAAGTTTGTTTTTTTTTATCATCAGTATAGCATTCAGAATGAAATTTCAGATATTTTTTCTTCAAATTTCAAACAGAAAATAATTAATCGGTAACATAAAAAAACAATTATAAGTATATAAATGCACTAAAATCAGTTTAAAAGTGTTTCTAAATTCCTGACGCATTCTCAACCTGAATAATTACACGTATTTCAAGTTCGAGATGTCCCGTCAGGAATTTGGTTATTATGCCGTGTATGTATCAGTGTGGGGAGCAGTGTCTTTATCAGAAAAGCCACGGTCCATACCCTTTTCAGTCGTAGTCGTTATGGTTATTTTAACGGCGGCAGCAGCAGCAGCCTTGACGGAGGCGGCAACGGTGGTGATGAAGATGGGGATGGAGGCGGCGGCGGCGGTGGCATAGGTGATGGTGATGGCGGTGGTGGTAGAGGGGGGAGATAGTATCGTCGGTTTAGCGGCGTTAAATTACGGAGATGTACAATAAAGGGCGGTCTCCTTCTTACGACTCGACTTGGGGAAAACTCTGAAAGACGTCATTTCCACCACCCCTGCCCTGCCACCTCCACCATCTCTACCACCACCGCCGCCGCTGCTGCTCCAGCACAACCCGGCGGCCCTGGCATCCCTGCTACCATCGATTCCTCTACCCAGTTCCACCACCCGACCGATTCTATCCTGTTCGTTCATTCCTCATCGTTTCTGTTTTTTTGGGTTTTTTTTTTATTTATCATGTTTTCTTTTTATCTGTTTTTTTTTTTTTTGCTTTGCTTTTTTTTTTTTTTTTTTTTTTTCTTTAACGACGCCGCCATCTTGATTCAACAACGGGTCTTCTCTTCTTTCCCGCCCTCCCGGATCGATGGCGTCGATCACGTGACACCATCGCGGAAACAAACAGGAGAAGGATAAAAATAAAACCAGCTGCGGAACTTGAGACATCTCTGCGCGTGACTGACTTCATTGCCAGTATCCGTTCTTTCTTCCTTTCTTTCTTCGCCTCACTCTCTCGCCTTCTCTCAATCACCCCCTCTCTATCAGTTGTCATTTCACTCCCTCTTTTTGTCGCAATCTCCTTTTATTTTTTATTTCTTTCTTCCTTTTCTCACCGTTTTTTTTTTTGTCTTTCTTTCTTTGGTATTTTTTCGTCCATTTTTTTTCCTTCTCCGCATTTTTCTTTTTTCATTCCTCGATTTTTTCATTCTTTTGCTTGAGTTCTTCCTCCTTCTTTATCATTAATTTTTCTTCTTTTTTTTCTTCGTGAAACAATTCAGACGTAAGGAAAAAATACTTTTTTTTTTCGCTTCTATCTCTAAATATATTTTTTTTTTTATTTCTATCTCTACATTTTACGTTTATTTATCTTTTTATTTTATTTTTATTTTTTTTTTTTTCAGGACCAGTTTTGCCTGTTCGAAATTTTCTTTCTCCTCTTATATTTTTTGCTATTGTCATTATTATTCGTTTTTCTTTTTAATTTCAAATATTCTCACACTTTTCTTTTTCATTTTACTGCATTTATTTTGTTGAGCATTTGTCTCTTTCTTTCATTCCTTCTTTTTTATTTAACGATCTTTTTTCAGCTTTCTTTACTTTTATAGTTGATCTTTTCTTTTTTTTCTTCCTTTTTTTATTATCTTGTTTACTTCTTTTACTCTTTCTTTTTTCCCTGTTATTCTTCTCTTTCTTTCTGTTTTTATTTAATTGACTGTGGTTTTCTTTCTTTCTTTTACTTTCCTTTTCCCGTTGTTTCTTTTACTTTCTTCGTTTTCTTTTTCTTCTTTTACTTATTTAATTGACTTTGTATTTTTTTTCTTCTTTCCGTCTAGCTTTCTTCCTTTTATCATTTTTCTTTCATTTTTTCTTCTTTTCTCTTTGTCTTTTCTATTCTTTCCTGTTTCTTTTTTCTTCTTCCATATTTCCCTTCTTAATTTTCTAATTGCCATTTTCTTTTTTTCTCGTTCTTTGTTTCTTGTAGTTTTTGCCTTTATTTTCGCTTTCTTCTTCTTTTAAATTTCATCATTTCATTTTTTTCATTTTAATTCATCATTTTTTTGTTTTTCTTTTGTCTTTTACAGTTTTATTTATTCCTATTTTTTTAATTTTTTATTCTTTTTCCGATTTTTCTTGATATGTTTACGTCTTTCTCTTCTTGTTTTCAATAGGTTCTTTCTTTTTTTATTCCTTTCTCTCTGACTTTCTCTCTTTCTTTTTCTTTCTCTTTTCTTTCTCCCTTACTTTCTTTCTCATTGCCTTCTTCTTTCCTTTCTTTTCCTTTCTCTTTTTCTTCATCTTTATCTCTGTATATCTTTATCTCTCTTTCTTTCGCCTTTTTCATTTCTTTCTATTTTTTCCCTGCCTTCTCTGTCTCTCTTTTTCGATGCTTCTTTTTCTCTTTCTTTCTCTCATTTCTTCTTCTTCTTCATGCTCTCTCTCTCTCTCTCTGTCTTTGTCTCTTTCATTCTTTTTCTCACTATCTTTCTTGCCTCTCTCTTTCTTCTGTCATTTTCTTTTCCTTTTATTCTCGCTTTATTACTCTTTTTTTCTTTCATTATTTCCATTGATTTTTTCGATTTTTTCTCTCTTTTTCCCCCTTTCTCTCTATTTTTCTTTTACTTTCGTTTTCCTGCCTTCTCTCTTCCTTTTTTTCTTTCTTAAAGTTCCTATCAATTTCCAAACTTGCCTTATCGTTGATAATTGAGCATTTTCTAAAGTAGTCGGTGTTCGAGACTTGATAAAAGGTCAGATTTGGAACATTTAAATAAGTCTTACTTCACCTCTTGAATTTACGCAACACAGTCTCCTACCTGTTGTCGTATACTTGAGTAAACTGAAAATTCTATCACAGTTTTTCTTATCTATTTACCCCTAGTTGATTAGCATCTTGTTTATTTAAACTGGATCGATACTGATCAATTTATCTATCTACTGATCAATTTATCTATTTCTTCCAATTCACGTATTTGCAATGACGACGCCATAATCGTCTTTTTAGGGTGTGTGAATTTCACATGAGATTGAGGGCGACACTGATCATCTCCCTCGTTTTCTTGTTTGCCTCGTTCCTAACAGATTGGCCTAAACTACTAAGCAATCAATGATTGATTGCCTTCCTTTTAATTTGTTCAATCAATCACTTAATCAATCACTCACCTTTTATGAACAATTTCAGCAGAAGTAAAATCGATTTTATTATTGGTTCAGGGATCGAAGCTTTACTCCTAATTGTAAATTACAAATCAAGATATTATTTTCGCAAGTCGAGCATCTGTATTGCAGCACATAAGTAATTATTTGATTTCGTGAGGTAAATGCCAAAATGAATATCGTCAAATACGCGACTTGCTAATTTTCAGCATGACGAAAGTCATGAGTTATCTCCCGTGGGCAGATTCGGAAATTCCCGATAGAAGTCATGACGGAAGGATCTTTGACGTATTTTGAAAAAGGAAGATTCGAAGCGATTTAATTTCAAATACAAAAATAAATAAATAAATTAAATTAAAATTAACAAGTTAAATCGTCTACTAATCGAACACCAAGCCTAAACATAGGCTAAAAATATCTAAACATATCTTTACCTGACGAAAAATACTCGTTAATCAGTAAGGCCGGTTCAAAAGGTGATAGTGATAGGTGACTTGATAAATCTTATTGTTTCTTTTAAGGGATTATATTTCTTGAGAGCTAGTTAAGGTTTGGTCTGTCAAACCATTGGAAGGTAGTTCGTTTTTCAATAACTGCGTCATCAACATACCTTGCATTATAATCGACTGATAAAATCGAATATGAAATTAAATATACTACGATATATATATATATATATATATATATATATATATATATATATATATATATATATATATATATATATATATAACAGACAGACAGACAGACAGAGAGAAGTAAAAAGGTTTGTCACTTAGCTGATTGATGTTACCTTCAGCTTTTCGACTCCAGTTTCGAAGACGGAACCTACAGGAATCACTCCGTCCACTCGTCAGGGGTATCAGCGATTGACTGCTTATACTTATCGATTTTTCTTTTTTGTGTGCAATTTTCATTGGTGTAATGTTTTGTTTTTCATAGTATATGTGTGTGTGAGTGTGACTGTGCATGTGTGCATTCGCGGGCGTGAATACGTTTTTGCGTACGTGTAGAATCTTATGTGTATTTGTCCTTTTCTCATTACACTTAACTTTCAATTGAAGCGATTTTGATTTCCAGTTTTCTAGACATATACAATTGCTAATTCATCTTTAATATATATATATATATATATATATATATGTTTAATATATATGTGTCTGTGTGTGTATGTGTGTTGTGTGTGTGTGTGTGTGTGTTATATTATGTATATTTGAACACCTACACACGACTGGTGTGATAAAACCCAGATAGTATAATTTGCAAATAAGAATATTTTTAAATAAACTGGTATAAGGGAAAAAATTAATTTTAAAAAAAGCAAAGACTAAAAACATCCGTGTTAGTCGAAAAAATCACCCAACATTGCAATGTCTACCCAAAAGAAAAAAAACAATGGACAAAAATAAGAAAAAAACCTAAAGTGCTCAATACACTTACGTAGAGCAAAGTATAAAAAAAACCCTAGTGAGTCAGAAACTACCTACCAAGGTTTCACCTAACGGATGTTCAGGGCTAAACTAGCTCTGAAGATCCGTTGTATATTTTTCTTCTCAAATGAATGGAAAAAAGGAAGAGACGTTTCACATACGGCTTGCCTACAACCAGGATTGTTCATAACCATTTTAGATTCTCACCCGTCGAAATGCAGTTGAAATGCACTGAAACGAAGTTGCATCTTTGTAGTAAATAAAATGCTTTTGTCTATATGATAAACTTATAATAAATAAATAATTTTCGCTCTATTATCGGTATCCATCCCTCTTTTGGATTAACGCTGTGAACGTTGGTATTTATATATTACTTTCGTTTTCATCGCATCGGATATATATATATATATATATATATATATATATATATATGTTTGTGTGTGTGTGTGCGTGCGTGCGTGTGTGTGTGTTTAATATATATATATATATATATATATATATATATATATATATATATTACTATAAGCATTTTTTTTAGTAATATGTCTCAGATGAAGCTTTATTAAAAGTGAAACATATTAGATTGATATACGTTTCCTATTTGTTCGTTTATTTTATCATATACATTCGTGGTCACTTCAGTGGCCCGGTATTGTCGAGCTGTATTTTGCTTGACGCTGTAAGCTCCTCTACCGTGCTGACACTATTCCCTGTGACATTCAGCATTTTTTTTGTCCCACCAGTAAACCACTTCTCGTGGAATTTTTTTATTTTTTTCTGTTTCTTTTTTTTAGGCTATTTTGATCTTGATTATTTTGATTATTTTCCATTATTATAAAGAACTTTTTTGTCGTCCGTACACGTGTTTGAGTTGTGATAACTCGATACCTTTTTCCTTATTCTCCTAAACACTGAATCAACCAGCCTAAACTGAGAGAGCCTACGAAAGAAAATTTTGTGCCCCGATAAGAATCGAACATCCATACTTTTTTTTTCCATCATGGAAAATGCCAAAGTGCGCCGCAACAAGTTTGAGATTAGTAACATTTTATATATATATATATATATATATATATATATATATATGTCTGTGTGTGTGTGTGTGCGTGTGTGTGTGTTATGGTCTGGGTCCTTGTACCACGGTGATAGTCCAAGGAAGAACTCGAATACGGATACGGAATAACACAGATATATTACAAACAGGAATATATACAGAGAAATAGAAAAAGTGTTAGTACGAACAATCAGGTTTAGTAGTAATTGTCTGAACGCGACTCTGTTTAGGGTTGCCTCTGACTCGACTGACTGACTCGCTCTGACTGGCTGACAGACTCCTGACGGACTTCACTCCAGACTTCAGATTTCACTCCAGACTTCAGACGGAACTCTCCGCTTCCTCTTGAGGCGCAGTATTTATAACGTATGGAATAGTCCATTATGTTACTATGAGTAAGGTCCCATAACAATATGCATACTAATTGTAAACAAGATGAAAATATACTAAAAGAAATAGTAAATACCAATATATGTGCAACAGACCCTAGCAAAAAAAAACTAGGTTAATCATATACACTAAATCTAGTATATCCAACTTAACTATTCGCAATGATTCTTCGCCCTTCCCCGTTAGAGAAAACCAACATAGCTTACAAATTCAAGTGCCCTTTGAGAGATTGTATCTCCAACGGATTAAATAATATTTACGTTGGTCACACCACAAACTCGCTTTCACGACGCTTGGCTCTACATTTAAATGATAACTCTAACATTTTTAGGCATTTAAAACAACATGCCTGGCCGCGTACACAATTCCGGAAAATCCTTGTGGAAAACACAGATATACTTAAACATGAAAACAATAAACAAAAACTAAAAATTATTGAAGCTATATACATAAAACAGTTGAATCTCCACAAATATCCTTAAATGCCTATAATTTATAACAGAAGCCATTGGTTTATACCAACGTCTTCCCATACTTAATACTTCTCGTTTTTCACTCTCGCCTGGTCATGTGTGACGTCACGAGCTGCGACGCGATTTTCGCTTCCGCGTCTCGGATATACGAGTTTGTCGTTACTTGAAATTTTCATGCAGCAAGAGCGGACTATCATTGTTGTTTCGTCCGTTGTTGTTTGATTTATTGAAATTGTCATCTTTGATAATGGCTTATGTAAGGCGAAAGCTTAGATAGGATTTAAACATGTATCAATATGGTGTTTTCCTTCCGTCTTTCAACGATAATGTAATTAAGCTTATTAGACAATATGAAAGGAACTTACTTAAAATAAATAGACAAAACTTGTCTATATTATTTAATGAAACATGCATTAATGATATATATATATATATATATATATATATATATATATATATATATATATACATATATATATCACTTGTAACACTACATTATAGTTGATACATGTGCTTGACTTGATGCCCTATTGTTTTATTTTAAAGTGTGTGAATTCCATCCACAGACATCTTATTTCGAGTGTTTTAATAAAGAGAATATGTCCTCCATTGATTTGAATTATGGCAATTTAAACGATGATTCCCCTACAAGGGAGAACACAGTTTAAACTCTACCATTGGGCTATTACCTTTATTAAGACTCTCCAATGCACATGCCAATAGATGTTATTCGCACTGCTAAAATATGGTGTCCACTCAAACACGTGTATCCACGATAATGCACCATTTAAAGTGATCACAAATAATCTAAAATTAAAAATAAAATATATTAATTTCTTAGAATATTATATATATATATATATATATATATATATATATATATATATATATGTCTCTGTGTGTGTATGTGTGTGTGCAGGGTGTGATGAAAAAATTATCGTCTAAATTACGCAAAAAGCCAAATTTTACTCACATCTCATTTTAACAGATATATTTACCAAAATTACATAAATATATCTTGAAATACTAAAGAGTAAATTTATTCCGTAAGATTGCCATTGGCTTCAACCACAGCCTCTAGGCAACTTCGGAATCTCCTGCAATTCTTCTGGACGGTCTCTTTGTTTAAGTTTGTGAATTCTGCCATAATCCTTGCCTACAGTTCATCTTTGGTGTTAAAAAGAGTTTTGTTGGTCTCTCGATCAACTGCACCTTACACACAATAGTCAAAGGGGTTGCAGTTTGGAGAGTTGAGTGGCCAGACGTAAAGGGGGGGATGTGGTCGCAAAAATTGCCTGACAGCCAGGATTTGCTTCTCTTAAGCTTTTGACTTCCCACACTACTTTAAACAAAAAAGTTGAAATAATTTCCCATCAGTACGAGAAAGAACAATAACAATTAGTGGACTTGAGAACTCTAAATTTCTGAAAGAAAATGTTTTTCTAAAAAAGATTTTATGAAGTTCAACTGACACTAATACTGTTTGGCCAATGAATGCCGAATGTTTCCATAACCCTTTCAAGTCCACGTATACAGTAAAAAATATAATTGAGCGTTTCAATAGACATATCTAAATGAATTTGACTTAGAAAACTATTATTATTGAATGTATTATTATAAATATAGCAATGGGACACTATGTCCGCTTTATCCCATATCACTGCCGTTTTGGGACGTTTTGAAAACATCTGAGAGACACATATGTCCCTCTGGACTCGAAAGGGTTGAAAGGAAACAGCGAAATTTATCATTATTATTGTTTACTTTTGTTTTAAAGAAAATGTTTTGACAGTCGAATAATTCATGGAATCATTAAATGCTCGTAATTTAAGGAGATTTATGATAACTTCTATTCTATTTCCTCATTTAATCCCAATCTATAAACACACCTATTTTCTCGTCCTGTCGGCTGGGGCTTCAGAATATGCTGACTACGCCTCTGCAGAGACCCCCACCCCCACTCAAATGAGGCGTCCTGGGTAAGACGATAAACTACGCCCGACAGCAAGGTATCTGATCCACCTCTTAATTACTGGTGTTCCCAGGTCCACCTTGACACGGGATGGTAGCACCTGTTAGGATCCCAGCTATAGGCAAATAGTTAACCCCAAACTGGGATCAAAACGCTGTGAAAGTGTAAAAACGGGCTATAATACGAGCAATATATTTTTGAAAAAAATTATTACCAGCAATGCATTTTGGAAGAAAATATTACCAGCAATAAAAATCTTATTTACATTATTCGGACAATTGTCCTCATCTTTGTCGCCATATTTATTACAACGTTTCGGTCGTTGTACGCCACAGCCTTCTTCAGGTAGTTGGAATGTCGAACTGAACCCTTTATTTCGCTCACTGGGGTAGACTGTTCTAGTTCCACCTGTCATGTTTAATGGATGTCATCAGTTATCTCCTGTTAATTCCCCTCACCAAGTTCTCCACTGCCTTAACCGGTTATTGAACTCACACTCTTTGGGTCCTGTCACTGGATCTAACTAACGCCTTTAGCAACTATGCTCAAGGACACATGCCACAGTGGATAAATATAGACAGATAAGGAATAAAAATCTTGTCGGCATTAAATAACTCATTGAGGTTGTTATGCCCTAAAACAAAGCAAAGCAAACCAAACTACAACGATTTTCGGTGCCTGCCAATGTAGGAAACGGAGTAAATGTTGCTCTAGAATCTTTCATTATCTTAGCCTTATTCAAGTAATTTATTCGGACGAGTATCTTCATCTTTGATCAAGATGCGTTCTTTGCCATTTGCTTTATGTTTGCTTCATATTTGGGCATATAAAACTTTTCACAAAATGCCACGTTTCTTCATGTTGCAATTCCAGTGCCGACAAAATTGAATAAAAAGAAAAATATGATAAAGAAAAGTTTTTGTTCAAAGGATTGCTAGATGCGTATGGCCCGAGAACAAACCAACCCAGATAAAAATAAGAATAAATTTCACGCATGAACCACTAACATTACTTCATCTTAAAATATTTTACTGGATAATACCAAGTATGTATAGAAATTTAAGAATACTTGTGTGGAGAAGATCATGTTGTCAAACGGAAACCATTCTTATGAAAATAGGCTGAGGAATAAAATGAAAACTTTGACGTGACAATCAACTGTTAATCAATATTAAATGCAGGCCTGACGTTATCGAAATTTTCTTGTTTCTTAATACGTTGCTTCGCTTTTAGAAAGCATCTTTCGCTATCGCAATACACCTTTGGATTTCTATGTCGCCTTTATTTGTTTGTTAAAAAGATTCCCTTGCTGAATAACTCAAGGAATAAGAACAAGGAGTTATTTCAAATTTCAGACAATGGCATAAAGGTCGGAGAACGCATAGGCTGAAATGAATTAATAAAAATAGTTAGACAGGGATAGTAGTCCATATCAAAATTGGTATAAGGACTTATCTCAGAATTTTAGATACAACTTTTACAGAATAAAATCATCTTACATAAAAAAGCAATGCAGCAAGATTTAAAAAAAAATGTTAATAGTTGCTGTCACTTGATCTTTATCTATATGAAATCATGTCGGCAACCAACGAATACGGAAGTGGGGGGAGTTTGTTAAATTGATTTTCTCCGTCGCCATTTATGTAAATAGTTATCGACTTTTTTTTCCTTTTTTTTTTGTCATTTTCCAGTCAACCGATCCGTTCGACTTCCATTGTCTCATTTCCCGACGATTGTTCCCTTTTCACACTTTGCTTTCTCCTCCTCCTCCTCTTCCCCTTCCTCCTCCCTTTCATCTTCCTCTCCCCCTTTCATCATCATCATCATCATCATCATCATCATCATCATCATCCCGCCCTTCCTCCTCCTCCTCCTAACTCCTCCTCTAGTTTCCCAGTCTACCTCTCTTTCTTCTCTAGTTCCTCCTGCATCTCTCCTTCCTTCTCCTTTACAGTTTTCACCCTAGAGAACTCAAAAGTCTTCTCGGTCTCTTCATTTATTTATTTTATTTTATTTACTCTTTTTTTTTTTTTTTCACTCTTTGAGTCTAAATCGTTGGTTTTACGAATAAACTTTTCCTTTTATTTATTCTTGTATCTCGCTTCTGATTTTCTTTCCTGTTTCCACTAAAAATCATTTCTTTCTTTCTGTATCTTTCTTTCTCTGTTGACGCTTTCATTCACCTCTCACTATTGGTTTACTTTCATTCTCTCCTTTGTCTTCTTCGCATGAGGCTTCTTCTTTCTTTCTTTCTTTCTTTTCATTTATGTCATCCATCGTTCTTTCTTTCTTTATTTTTCTCTTTCTTTCTTTATTTTCAGTCGTATGATCTTTCTTTTATTTATCGATTTTCTTTCATTTCTATTTCATTTGCGTATTTCTAACTTCCATCTTATATTTCTTCTATGATTTTGTCATTCGTCTGACACATATTTCTTTTTACTTACATTATTCGGACATATTTCGGACTGTTATCCTCAGCTTCATTGCTATATTCACAACGAAGATGAGGATAACAGTCCGAATAATGTAAATAATGCAAGTAATCATAATACCTCATCTGAGATATATAGACAGATATAGAGAGACATAGACATAAAGGCCGGAGAGTACAGCGGCCGAAACGTTGTGAATATGGCAATGAAGATGAGGATAACAGTCCGAATAATGTAAATAATGCAAATAATCATAATACCTCATCTCAGAGATATAGACATTTATTCTTTCTTTTTGCTTTCCCCAGAAACATATTTTTCCTTATTTCTTTTCATTTTTCACTCAACCTTTTTTTTTTTCTGTATTTCTCTCTTTTTGGACCTCTTTTTCTTACATAAACAAACGCTCTTCATTTCTTTTTCATTCTCTTTTTTGTGGGGTCGGGGGTGAGGCAAAATCCTCTTTCCATTATTTCTCTCTCTCTCTCTCTCTCTCTCTCTCTTTCTTCCTTTCTTTCTTTTTTTTCGAATATATTTCTTTTTATTCTTGTCTTTTTTTTATCTTCATATTTTTCTTCTTTTTTTTCTGCAGAAATATCTTTAATTTTTCTTCTTTCCTACATCCGCCCCCTTTTTTCTATTTTTATCTTTCATTTCTTTAATTTCTTTTCTATTTTAATTCATAACCTACATATTGCATTTGATTACAATCAGTGATCGACTTAATTATCCAAAAACATTAAGAATCGCCGCTTATGTCATCGTCAACATTTGGCGACACATTGTGACACTTTTGCAGTGCCATCTTTTTCAAGATATTAAAGAAAATCCCTCAACTGTCAACGAAAACATTTAACTTCGTGAATATTTCGAAGATAAAAAAAAATTTAGAATCGGTGTTGCTTTAACTACTGACTCGATGTATATATTCCGGTCATTAGTAAATATTTATTACATTTTTGTTTTAGTTTTTAAATGAAGATATGTCATTATTATACACTGATTTTCTCAGATTCCCCAAAGGTAATCAACTACGTCAGACACCTGAAGAAGGTCACAGGCTACAACGGCCGAAACGTTGTGACGGTAACAACTAAGATGAAGAGATTCGTTACACTTTAATAGGAAACTAGCTGACGTACCCGCTATTCCCCGGGATTGTTATCCCCAGTCCCTGTTCTCATAGATTTTCTTCGATTATCCAAAAGTAACAATTCAAAGTACGTATCCCTGAAAAGGGCTTTTATGCGTTCACAGAGAATACCGATCCGCCGTTCCTAGCATTTTGGGAGGTAATACCAATAAGTTATGGATACCAAAATCGTAATGACACTTACGTAATAATAGGCAAATCGGTTATCCGAAAGTAAGAATTAAAAAAATAAGTAACCTTGAAAAGTGCTTTTGTGTATTCATAGAGAATATAGTCCTTAAGAGTGTTAAAATAAATATACGATAGATATACAAATAGATCGACATATAGTTTCATAAAAAACCTGCAAATAGATTTATATATAGATTAACAAAATACACTATTTACATTATTTGGATTATTGTCCTCATCTTTGCCGTTTCGGCCGTTGTACGCTCCGGCCTTCTTCAGGTGGTTGGAATGTCGAACCTAACTCTTTATTTCACTCACTGGGATAGACTGTTCTAGTTCCACGTGCCATGTTTTAATGGATGTCAGTTATCAGTTATCTCCTGTTAATTCCCCTCTCCAAGTTCTCCACCGCCTTAACCGTGTATTGAACTCACACTCCTTGGGTCCTGTCACTGGTTCTAACCAACGCCTTTATCCACTGTGCCATGTGTTCTTGAGGACCAGCCGTTAGAACATGACAGCCAGCAGGAGAAATATAGGCATACAGATGAACAAAATATTTACAACACTGACAAAAAGTACAGTTAAATCATAAAAACCTGGTGACTGGGTGTTTCTTATCAAGTTTGCAGAGCCTCTTGATAAACAACATTTTTGGTCTTTCCGTGTGGGGTATAACAAATAATTGGGATTGCCGACTCTTGAACATTCCACATAAAGTTGCCTATAGGGGAAAACTGTTTCTGCAGTGTTAAGGCTTACCTCATAAAAGGACTGCCCCGGAGGTTTATCAATGCTAATCGCAAAACTCAGTTTCACTAGGAATTGCAACTGCTTGAACTGAGTAGATATATCTGAGGGAACAAGTGGAATTTTAGTAGTAAATACGGCCTCACCGCTTGCTTTGCTAGTAAGAGCCTTCAAGACTGTTGGCATCATCTTAAATGTAAGTTGTGTGTCATTCCAAAGCTTTGGTGAATCGACGTTTCTTAGCAGCATCACTAGTACTCCAATCTTGAGTTGCAAATAAAATAACATACAGATGAACAAAATATTTACAACACTGACAAATAGTACAGTTAAATCCTAAACCCCTGATGATTGTGTTTTCAGTTTTGCAGAACCTCTTGGTAAACAACATTTTTGGTCTTTCCGTGTGGTTATAAATAGGCAAATGATTGAGATTGCCGACTCTTGAACATCCCACATAAAGTTGGCTATGAGAGAAAACTCAATATAGATTTTCATAAAAAGAAAACCAATTAGCCTAGTAACAAAGTGGTTGTTAGTTTAACATGTATGCAGAGTTTCATCAATATTTGTTCACGGGTTTAGGCGGCAACTTGCTTCAGAAAGACTGAAATCGCCACTTCGCATACAGCCGATGATCCAATTAAAATGTCCTTTGTTATATCATCGTACAAATGACACGCAGAAATGTCGAAGATATATGAGTTTTAGTTTAAAAACTTTTTTCATTTTTACTATTATTTTTAAGATCATTTCACCCCCCCCAAGCAAGACAATAAAGCCGCAAGAGTATGAGAGACTCTGAGGAAAAATCATCATTAAGAAGAGATCAATAAATGAACAGGATTGAAACAGAGAGAAGATAACGATTAACATTGCTTTTAAATTATTGACGATCAAAGTTGACTGGAAAGCAAGAAACAGGAAGAGGGATCGACAAGTGCGTGAGAAAGAAAAAACTGTTAACATACATCTTCCGGTTACTTCTTTTCTTGTCTGAAAATTGCAGCTTTTTGTACTGTAAGTTACTTAAACAAAAATTTATCGGTTTCATTTTCACTGTCCATCAATCCTTGCCGTAGCTTTAAGTGAAATAGTAGGGTAGACTGGATGAAATACTCTGAATTCAAAACCATGGAAAAAGCAGAGATCACTTTATTATTTTTCTCCATGAAGAAAAGGAAGCCGTGACTATCCATAATTGTCTACGCCCTGAAATGACATGGCATTTAAAGAAAAATTGTTCTTCATTGATATTTTATTTTTACCTACAATATTATTGGTTGATTATTGAGTCAAAATTCTCTTTGTTAAACAATTACTAAAAATAATTAAATTATTTAAAATAAGTTTTTCGGTTTTATCATCAAATTTCTGAATACAATTCTTATACACACTACATGCACACACACACACACACACACACGTATACAGACATTTCATTATATATTTATAGTCTTCGTTAAGACGAATCGAGTTCTCCGGACACTGGCGTGTTTGTCTAAAAATAAATACGTCTAAATTAACCTTCATCCATGCCGTGCGCTAATGGCTTAGGGGTAATATCTGCGACTGATACCAAATTAGTGGGTTTTCCAGCCTGGCTTGAGGCAATCGAATGTCTAGCCACACTGATGAACTGCGAAAATTTGTCTGTGGATGATTATATATATATATATATATATATATATATATATAAATATCTGAGTGAAAATTGAAGTCAACACTTACAGTCGACAGACTAAAGGCAATTATCAGGCTACATGCGTTGTACTTTTTTCTCGACTATTTATATATACGGGTCAGTGGTGTATTGTGGGTAGTCTGTTCTAACGGTTATTTTGGCGGGAGTGGTTTGTTAATTTTTTATTATTTATTTATTTGGATTAATTTGTTTTCCTTCTTTTTGCTTATTTATTTTCATTTTTTATTTTTATTTTCCGTTTTCGATTTTTAAATAACGCAGTAAAATGTGTTTTCGTGTCTACATTTTGAGATGAGTCTGTCGACTCTGAGTGTTGACTTCAATGTTTACTTTTATAATTACGTACGCTCTATCTCTGATATTGAGCACTTTATCCCATAAATATAGCATACCTTAAAATTATATATATATATATATATATATATATATATATACACAAATGCGGGGGAAGCTGGAGTAAAATTTGACTCTTCGTAAAATTTACTTTTAAAAAAGTGCTCAATACAAAGTAGAGTAATATATTTACTCTACCTTATTTTGTTTACTCAGCTTTAATATTGCTATGTATTGCCGTCCAGTTATTGTTATAAATATTTTATATGGATGTTCCACATTTTTAATTTTATCTACAGACCCCTTTAAGGAGGCTTTCTGAATCTAAAATTTTGAAAATAATTTTTTTCTATTAACTTTATGTCTGATTAACCTAAGCCTCCCTTCAATGCCCTTTCAAAAAATTAAATATGTCAATATTTGTGGCTGACATATTTTTCCGCAATCGTCAATGATGGCCTGTCTATGTTCCGGTTTATTATGGCATGAAAAAATAACTCACCCACCTCCAACTATTTAGCGTAGATCTGAGATTTAATTAGTTAATCAAGATCCACCGACAGATTTTTTTTTTTAATTCTGACCTTACACCCACCCCTTCTTTAACTCTCGGAAAAGAGATAATATTTGTTTTAAAATTTTTAAAAAATCATTTAATCACCAATTATTTATCATTGCCTGATGAAGTACAATCATAGTATTGATAGAAAATCTCTCTCTAAAAAAGCAAGATCGATAGATCCATCCTAGATATTAAACTTATGACCCTAATCTAGGGTTATATGAAAAATGAGGTGTTGAAACTAAAGGAGAACCAAAAAGGCAGTTTATATATAAACAAAACTTTTGATTATATATAAAAAGAGTTTAGGTTGCCACATTTGGGTACTGCTAAGTTAAATTCTAAATCTCTGATCCTGATACAAATGTGTGTGTGTGTGAAATGTGTATGTATATATTTATATATATATATATATATATATATATATATATATATATATATATATGCAATTTATTATATATATCTTTAATATATTATATATGCGCGGTACTTATTGGAAAGAGCTCAATATCAGTGATAGAGCTAACATACTTAGTTGGATTGATGTGAGTTTGTGACCCTGGGTTTCACGCTATTTGCGATTGTCAGGCAAACTGACGATCGCAAATAGCGTGAAACACAGGTCACAAACTCACATTAATCCAATAAATATATATATATATATATATATATATGTGTGTGTGTGTGTGTGTGTGTGTGTGTGTGTGTGTGTGTGTGGGGGGGGATAATAAATGATATATATATATATATATAGGGGTATAATAAAAAGAATTAAATATCTTGCAAGTGTTAAAACAGAGAACAGAAAGCGCAACACTGAAATCTGAAGTTGCATTGGGAGTGCGAAAGATGCCTTCCAAAAGCTAAGCAAAGTATTAAGAGACAGAAAAACTTCGTTAGAAACAAGGAAAAGAAAACTAAATTGCTATGTGATATCTGTCCTCCTGCTTAGCAGCAAATGCTGTCCAATCTGCTCAAAGATGAAGACGACACTTGGAGCCTAGTATACCATGGACTAAACAAACTATCCATAATTGTCTACGCCCTGAAAGGACATGGCGTTTAAATAAAAATTGTTCTTCACTGATATTTTATTTTTACCTTCAATATTATTGGTTGATTATTGAGTCAAAATTCTCTTTGTTATAAATTTATAAAAATAATTAAATTATTTAAAGAAGTTTTTTCGTTTTATTATCAAATTTCTGAATACAATTCTTATACACACTATATGCACACACACACACACACACGTATATGACGAAGTTTTGGAGAAAACTGAAAAAAAAAGGAAGAGACATTTGACGTTTCTAGGGCAAATAATGAGGACAAAGGCTTGGAAAATTTGATACTCACGAGACAGACTAAGGACAAGAGGAACAGAAGAAAACAACGCATAACATACTTAGTGACCCTGAACAAATGGATGGTGAAACAGGGTTTAGTAGAAATAAAAAGGGACAGGAAATTGTGGAGAGCCATGATCGCCCACGTCTGAGGAGACACGGCACATAACGAAGGATAAGTGATATCATGAGATAGTCATGCGAAGCAACGAGATAACAGCCATTATCATGTATGCATTGAATGACAAAATGAAAAAACAATGAACAGGAAGTCGTGGAGAACCATGGTCTCCTACGTCATGATTGGACACAACGCATAAAGAAGTGATATCTTGCAATGTCATTTAACAGAAAAAATTTTTCCATTTTTATAATATTGTCCAACTAGGCAAGGCCCAAGAGCCACTTAAGATAGAGGCTTTAATAAATGAGTTTGTTTTAAGGGCGTACACGGAGTAACTAAAAGATGCATATTATGAGGGTATGTAGGATAGATAACGGTTGACCCCGAGACTTGGAGAGGTTGAGATTGAAGTGATTGGGGAAGCATCCTCTCCGGAGTTTGCTCCACAAATTAAAAGTCCTGTGAAATAATCTGTCTGAGTGGGACTACTATCTCATTAATGAAATACGACATTTAATCTAAAAATAAATAACACAAAATAAATATTTATTAAATTATGCCTTTAAAAATAGTTATGCAACTTAAATATTACCGCTAATGATGTAAACGCGATTTGTTAGTAATATATATGAGACTAATAGAAATCCTTCCATGTTCAAGCGGTAAGTAATATTTATTTTATTATAATACAAAAATGTGGCAGAAGACCAAGAGGGGGGATAAGGGAAGGCTGGTCTTGAATTTGTCTTAACTTAGCACGTTACGATTACTGACGCAAACATAGCGCAGTATTTATTACACCAAAAAAAAAAACACATTCTTACTTACTATTGCGACAGTCACCATAATACCTCAGAGTCTCTATGTAGTCTTAAGTAGTTCCCATATGCACAATTTATCTGTAGGAGGCGGGGAATAAAAGTAACATGATTTAAAAATGAAACCCCAATGAATACTTACAATAAATACAATTTATATACAAGAAACTAAACAAATTAGTGTTAGTAATAAAAAATCTTGCAATCCTTGACTGGATGAAATTAATGCAGGACAAGATAACTAACAGCAATCATTCGACCAAACACTCACTCAAACAGACACTCATCCAGACACAAATACGATATACTCTCGAAAAGCGTCCCGCATCTCCCAGAGAATTGACATCTCTGTCACCTAACGGTGAAGGGGAATTAAACTAAAGAAAGTGGAAACAGAAATAAAAGAGGTAAGTTGGATGACACAGTGACAAAATCTATCCTTACGCGAATTTATAAAAGATTAAGTTAAACGATATATTTATATTGGCTTGACATATTGTTTGAATCGAGTTGATTTTGGTTCTTGACGGAAATATTTGTTAGCACACAACAGAGAGCATTCGAATGAATGATATTAACAACGCGTCTCCCTCTTAGCAGCACAAAAGACAGTTCTGCGGATGTCTATCAACGAAATCGGACGCTTTTATTTTTCTCTTTGAAGGTATTCGTCAGCAACTGATTTCCTTTAGAATGTAAATCTCCTGGTATGTTCCCATCGGAATCACTATTCTCTGTGCCAATTCGACACTTCAGACAGATTCTACGTAATCTTCAAAGACGTTTTTCATCTTCTATTTGTGAGGATGCAATAAGTTTGTGTCAGTGTTTGCTCCAGAATAACTGATTGTGAACAAAAAAAAAAAAATGGATGTGCTTGTAGTGTAGCGCCTATCGGCGCGGAAATTGGAGTCGATATGTCGAGTTCAAATCCCAGTCTCGTACGTTGTATTTTCCGTTTGCGTAAATGCACTCGGAAAGTTATGAATCCTTCTGTTCTTCCCATTCATGACAGTGGGTTAAATGGTAGGGTAGATTGCGCACGGTTGGCAATCAGTTTACGATGACAAGATTTTTGGGAGGTAATAATGATTTACCGATACAAGTCCTTCTACACCTTGGGAGAAAAGAAACGGATTCATACCTTTTCCAATGGTATTTGCTTAAGGGAATATAACGAATACGACTTGAGCGTTCCCCGTTTTAAATTTCCAAACCGTTATCCAATATACATCCAAGCTTACAGCATGCAGTCACCCATTTAGATACTGACCAGAATTAGACGTCGCTTGACTTCGGTGATCGTACGAGAAATTGCGTTTCAACGTGATATAGCCTATAAGCCGTGACAGGTGAATAAACATAGATAGGTAGGTAGATAGATGCAATTTGTTTTCGTTCCCTTGTATAAGTCGAAGTGTGCTTATACCTCAAACAATTTTCCTTACCTTCTTAATATGAGCGCTAGGTCTTGCAATTATCGATAAATAGATGGACAGATGCAATTTGTTTTCGTTCCCTTGTATAAGTCGAAGTGTGCTTATACCTCAAACAATTTTCCTTACATAGATAGATAGATAGATAGATAGATAGATAGATATGTGCAATTTGTTTTCGTTCCCTTGTATAAGTCGAAGTGTCCTTACACATCAAACAATTTTCTTTACCTTCTTAATATGAGCGCTAGGTCTTGCAATTATAGATAGATAGATAGATAGATAGATAGATAGATAGATAGATAGATAAGAGCAGACATAGATAATGCGTCTAAAATATCGTTAACTGCACGTGAATCTTTTGCATTTTTGGATGCCAGTCTTGCAACCCATTGTTACTGTAATGATTTCGATCCATATTCGTTGTCCAACACTTGGGGATTTGTGTTAACTCTGAGCGATGGATTTCGTTTCTTAAAGCCAATGATGTTCTCTGCATTCACAGTTCCACTATTTTAAATAGAAGATGATTTACTCTCTTTTCATGGTTGATGTCATTCTTTTCAATTTTTTCTCTAGACTTTTCTTTCTTGTATTTCGACGTCTTTCTTTACCCTTGATATATATTTCATTTTTTTTAAGGTCTTTCGTTTTCTCAATATTTCTTTTCGTTCGACCTTTCTTTCTTTTCTCCCAACATTTCTTTTTACCATTGCTAGCAACCATTTTTACCTTTTATTTCAACTTCCTCGTCATCTTTATATATTTGTCTTCTTTTTTTTTCTCGCCTTCATTTAATTCCTTTTACTTTTCTTTTGCTCCCCCCTTCCTGTGTTCTCATCACTCTGTCTTATTTTTACTTGCTTTTGCCAATGTCTGCTGCAACTTGTTTTCGTTCCCTTGTATAAGTCGAAGTGTGATTATACCTCAAACAATTTTCCTTTCCTTCTTAATATGAGCGCTAATTCTTGCAATTATAGATAGATAGATAGGTAGATAGATAGATGCAATTTGTTTTCGTTCCCTTGTATAAGTCGAAGTGTGCTTACCCCTCAGACAATTTCCCTTTCCTTCTTAATATGAACGCTAGGTCTTGTAATTATATATACATGATTGTGTGTTCGTGAGTTTGTGTGTGCGTGCGTGTGTATGTGTGTGTGTGCGTGTGTTTGTCTAGTCAGGTTAGATGTCAGCTGCCTTCATTGCGAAAACAAGTTCTTGTGTGACGTCAAATGAATTTTTGTTTCCCGATTGCAAATGACAATGGACCCAACGCTGTCTTTGTGCAGAATTACAAACGCCACCCCCGTCTCGACACACCTACACAAGCAGAACACCAAACTTTTCTCTTACTTAGTTTCCAGACAAACACATAGACAAATGCGTATAACCACATTAATAAGGAACTGGACACACACACACAAACCAATGATCACTGTTGTTAAAACGAGAATGTCAACATGCTTGAAACAGTCGAGGTTTCAAACGTCTTAGACACTTATTAACAGACCACACATTTTTGTAAGACTCATTGAAGTGATTCCTCGTAGTCCATGCCTTAAAGAAATAAAAAAAATTCTTCTCACAAGTACAGACCACATCTTACGAAGGGCTATAACTACGTAAATTATGTGATCTTGATTTTTTTTGTTTTCTTAAAAATACTCAGTGGAAAATGTCATGATGTCATTTCTGGCCTTAGGTCTATACACCAGAAATCAAAGGAAATAAAATGTTAAGAAAAAGAAATAACAAATAAAGAAAAACTACATTAAAAAATCGGATGCTATCGCTTCAGAAGTCCGCTTTTCTTTTCTTTTTTTTTTTTCTTAATATTTTTATCCCAACCTAGGCGACACTGCGACTAAAACAAAAAGGGATTATTGGGAGTGGAAGAGAATGAACCATTTAATAAATCAGTTCCTTTACTCTGTCGCTTCTTAGATTGCAGTCTTATTTGTTAAAGTCTTTCATGTGAGACACACAGATACCTTTGTATATTAAGTGATCGTTTTGCTTCAACTTGAATAGGCTTTCTCGTCGCCGTCTTTATCGTTTTCTTGCTATTTTTGAGATATTTCCATTTCATTGTTATATTAAACACATACACATTTTAACATGAAAAATGATATGTATATTAAGCCAAAAGCGATTTATATAATACCGGGGGTAATCAATGACTCATCGATACCATTGAAAGTCTAAAAAATATAAAGGGAACGGTTGAATTAAACGGTTCATTGGCCTCCATTTTAGTTGCCAATTCGTTATTTCCGCCTTAATGAATCTCAATACATTGTTTCAAGACTTTTTTAGAAATTGCATTTCACTATTAAAACTTTTTAGAAATTGCCGTCATTTGCCGGAGATATTAAAAATAACAATATTAATAATTAACCATATTGTATCTGTCTATATTTCTGAGATGAGGTATTATGTACACTATTTACATCGTTCGGACTATTGTCCTCATCTTTGTTACCATATTTATCACAACATTTCAGCCTTTGTACGCTCAGGCCTTATTTAGGTGATTGAAATATCGAACTGAAGCCTTTATTTTGCTCGCTGGCGTAGACTGTTCTACTTCCACGTGCCATGACTAATGGCTGTCAGTTATTAGTTATCTCCTGTTAATTCCCCTCTCCAAGTTCTCCACTGTCTTAACCAGGTATTGAACACACTCTCTGTCACTGGATCTAACTAACACCTTTATCCATTGTGTTATGTGTCTCTGAGGAGATCTGCTGTATGAATTTCTGGGACTTATAAACCTAATGTCTTCAGCAAGCATTTTTACCAGTGCTCATATTGCAATTATTGCTGTTATCGTTGCATATTTTTTTACCAGAGCTCATATTGCTATTTTCGTTGTTGTTGTTGCTTTTCTCTGGTACTCCTTATTAATGATTTACATATTGTATTCATTTTTATGCTTAGTCGGCTCAGGATCCTACAATGAAAACGGAACGCAAACTGTCACAGATACTAATCAAGAACAAGGATCACTTCGCACCTAAGATGTATAGGCAGTTGTCGCAATTGTCAGGTGGCCTGACGATTGCCTGTCGCCTCTGAGTGTTGACTTCATTGTTCAATTTTATATTTACATACGCTCTATCTGATGATACTTTATCCCATAAACTTTTATCCTATAAATTCCATAAATATATATAATATATATTATATATATATATATATATATATATATATATATATATAATAAAACAACAGGAATTATAATATAGAAAATAATATCTTAAAGGAACTCAACTTCAATGGGAAGGATATAAATTAAAAAATGATCAAACAATTAATTCAGATTCTTATTTTAAGCGCCATATCACTCCAGGACTTTGATGATCATGACTCTCCACAACTTCCTATCCTTTGTAGCTCTGAGCAATGTCCCTTTTTTTCCATTCATGTACACAAGGTCAGTCAATATGTTACTCGCTGTTTCCCTCTATCCTTCTTGTCTTCAATACGTCCTGTGTGTGTCAAATTCGCCAAACCTTCTTTCCCTTTTGTGTCTCCCAGAAATTTCAACCCTCTCTTTCTGAGTCTCAGGACAAGTGTATTTTTGTTCCCATTTTCCATAAAGGTTCCTCGTTGCTAATATGTTCCATCCCTGGTATTCTCAGCATCCTTCTGCAGAACTCTATTTACCTTGCTTTAAATCTCTTCTTCATCTGTCATGAAATTGTTCTGCATTCGCCACTATATGAGGAGGGTTCTATATTACATGACAATTCAGCAATCTTTTCTTTGCTTCTACCGAAATATTCTGTTTATTAATACTTTGTTTAGCTTTTAGAAAGCATATTTAGCTATTCCTGTGTGCCTTCGGGTTTCGCTGTCAAATTAAAAACACCTGCGAAGAAAATCCTGAACATTGCCAATATGCACTCCGAAATGTCGACGCAGATAAATGCTTCCCCAAATCTTCATAGATTGATAAATTTATCAAATTTATATTTTATATAATTTTATCTCTACTTAATTTTTTCTAACGCCTCCATGTTATAGTTTATATCTTCGGCTGTCTCTTTTGATAACGATATTATATTTTGTCTTCTTACAATGCATGGTTAGTCCATTCTTCTTGCTTTCCTTTACTACCTAGTCTAGGAATCCATGCAGATTTCTTTCTGTCTGTCATCAACACGTTAGCATCTACATGTCTCATGTTAACATTGTACCCACCAATTATAAATTCTGATAGGAATTTTAGAGTTGTTATTCTGTATAGATACATCCGGTGAGAAGATGCATCCTTGAATAATGCGCATTTTTTTTCTATTTTCGTTTACTTGCTCAATTCATTTTCTCTATGCAGGCTTTTGGTTCCCAGTAAATGTTCCGAGTTATTCCAATATTCCCAAATGAATATTCTAATATTCCCAAATAAATAAATCAAGTTTACCTACAAATGCATCTAAAATTCTTTTAAAAAAAATTATTTTAAAACATAAGGGTTAAACAAATTAAAAAACCCATGAAGAAAATCTTGAACATTGCCAATGTGCCCTCCGAAATGTCGATGTAGACCATTGGTTCCCATTTTTTTTTTCTCTGGGCCGCATTTTCGGAATTAAAATTTGCTTGCCCATCATCAAATTTTATGTGAGAAAGAGTACATTAAAAAAAACAGAGAGAGGATTAAAAGGAGATAACTGCGGATTGATAACTCTCTCCAATTTGAAGACCCTATTTACTATATTCTTAATACTTGATATAATGCAAAAATATCACAATGATAAAATCAGTCAATAATTATTTATAACTATTTATAGTGGGGCGCATGCATAAAATTACATGCAATCTATAATAATATTTTAAATTTTGAAATCATATTTATTTTTGGCATATGAATCTTTTTAAAACTATTTCTAAATCTTTGATTATCTTTCATCTATTCCGCCTCACCTGCTATCCTCTTCCGCCTCACCTGCTATCTTCTTTCAGCTCACCTGCTATCCTCTTCCGCCGCATCTATGAGTTGCGCCGCATCGTTTGGGAACCACAAACAGAAAACCTATTAGTGGCTAAAGAGTACAGGGCTAAAAGTAGAGACAGAGGAATTTATAATGGCTGCACGGGACCAAAGACTATTCAGCTGTAATTATCAGGAAAAAAAGACAATAAAAATAGTGCCGACTCAATATGTAGATTATGTCAACATGCTCAAATTATTGACCACTTTGTTTCTTGTTGTCCAAATGAAAGAATACAAAGATCGATATTTAGTTTGGTTAGTATTTTCATTGGAAGTTATTTCTATATGTGCAATGCACTGAAAAATGGTATAAAATCACTTTAAACCAGTCAAGGGAGGCCATGAACTCACTATTATTTGGGGTTTTATTATTTATACTGACAGACATATAAAAGTTAATAGACCAGATATAGTAATTAAAACTACAAACAGAAAATGTTTTCTCGTAGATATGGCAGTGCCATCAGATAAAAATAGAATTGTTAAAGAATATAACAAAATGAGTAAATATAAAGATCTTGAAATTGAAATGAAAAAATGTGGCACTTAACCAAAGACTGTTATAGCTGTAATAAAAGGCAAACAAAATGCAAGTATTTAGTACGTTGACTTAGCTGAGATCGCGGGCAATAACCCAATAAGATATTGGACTGAATAGAACAATAATAATAATAATAATAATAATAGTAAGAAGAAAACGGAGAATATAAAACACAATTTGATATATTTATCGTCACACAAGTTTACCTCATTATTTAGTAATGACATATACCATTACTTTTCGCTACACAAAGCTGCTAACCTACTTGCCATAACATTAGAATGCGAACATATATATATATATATATAATATATATATATATATATATATATATATATATATAAAAGGCTCAAGCACTAATATTCCATGGTAATAATTTATTACATTGGAATCGTAATCACGATTCCAATGTAATAAATTATATATGTACCTTAGTTTTAAGTATAACTAAAATAACTAATGTGATTTCAGGCATTACTGTAAATCAGTTGGCAAATGTTTTCCGTGAACTGCAAAATCGTATTATCCTTTGTATTACTAATGATGGAGGACATGTGGAATGTTAAATAAAATTTAAAGAAAACCTTAAAAAAATATAGATTTACTTTTTACAAATTATTTCTATCGCAAATACAAATGAAATGTGTGTGTGTGTGTGTGTGTGTGTGTGTGTGTGTGTGTGCGTGTGTGTATGTATAGCTGGCCATTCGTATTCGAGTATACCTGTCTATTAGGGTGGCTAGCCAATCCCTATTGCAGACGTTCGCCCAGGCACATTTGTGTTTATTCAAAATCCGCATAGGTCACCTGTGAAGCCCACCTGTCAACCGTGGTAGGGTTTTCAGACGCACGCTGGAATATTTTAGCTGTTAAATAAGAAATAGTTTGTTGCATGTATGTTTTATAAAATGTTACAAACTATTTCTTATTTAACAGTTAAAACATTTAATCCTTGAAAATGGCTAAATGTATAGTCGAAAGCGCTGCGATAAAAAGAACATTCGAACAGTTTTTATATAATTTATCATCTGAAGAGAAAAATAATAATGAGAATTGTATAAAAAACTAAATAAAAGCACCTTGTCTCTATATATATATATATATATATATATATATATATATATATATATATATTGGGGACAATTTGAGTTTTCTCGTAATTTTTTACATCATGCGGCAAAGGTTTATTTGTGGAAGTAGGGACACAAAAGTTTACCGCAGCCTACTTGTACCAATCATTGATTTGATTGATGAAATGAAATTTCTTATCACATTTTTTCTACTGATGAAGAAGGTATAATTATTTGTAATTATAGTTTTTTTCTGTTAAATATTCAGAAAGTGCTGAATATGAGAAGATACAATTAAAGTCTTTGGAAATTTATCTAATCAAAGATAATTATAAATTTACTTCTATAACAACATCGCTTTTGACTTTAACTCGTCATTGTGAACTGTCTTTTCAGACGAAATCAACCAATTACATTTATAGTTTATCTGCACACATGTGCAAATTAATTGAAATAGCCGATTCGGTTTCCTTTCTTTCACCATACGGTCAGTTTTAAACTCATTGGATTTCTATTTTTCTCCTCACATTAGGTCATTTTCAGTGGTGTGCAGTAATGTGGATCTATTTTCGAGGTGTATGATGAAATTTGTTTGGCCTTGAAAAATATTGCAGCATCCGTGATTGCATCAGATTTTTATTACGCCCAAACACTATTGTCTCGACTGTCGATTAGTTGTCCTACGGACATTGTCTGCGATCGACGTTACTCCCAGGAAGCGTATGAAAATTGTAACGCTGCACAAATACACTGGCAAGTCTTAACAGTGAGCAAATCAAAATATTATAGACTGGCCCGGAAACTCTCCTGATTTAAATCCATTCGAGAATCTGCGGTCAATCACTAAGACTTTACGGAATGGACATTCGAAGTACTAACATCTGCAGTGGGTGATGTTTCATTGTTCGTTTTGTTTCAATTAATTTACATAAGTGTATAATTAATTTGTACAAGGGTGTATACTCGTCTGGCTGATTAAGCCAATCCAGGGAACGTCACACTTTTCGGTAAGCAAGGCATTCGAAAAGAACGTGAATATTAGCAGATTTTACATCTGACATCTTCGACGACCTTCTACTTGATGGACCAATTTTGCGTAAATGGCTTGAAAAGCATCAATGCAGACAAGTAAACAACTGACTCGATCACCAACCAAATTTTCTAATAATTAATTAGCAGAGCTGGCTGTGTTTGAGCTGGCAAACAGTCTAGCCTGATCCGGGAGGAATTTCATCAGGCTACAACAATGCAGTACATGTGAGTCCCCTACCACCGTAACGGATTATGGTATTAGGGACAGCAGGTAACCATTGTAAGCGACAACCCATCTCCGACCACTCAATGGCAATTGTCTGTATCAAATAAAATAATCCCTGTACATCAGGGCCGGCGCGTACTACCCCCGAAACCCAAACAGGGTGGGGGAGCCTTATTGTGTATCGTGACCCTCACTATCTTATCACCATTTGTTTTTTCCTATCTACATTTATAAACGTTAAAAATTAAACTAGGCATAACTGATTATTAATGGACGAAAAATGTTCGCGGATAATGACGACATTCGAGGAAGGTGAATATCCGTGAATTTGTTTTGATCATGCTAAGCCTCGAAAAAAAACAGTATAGAAAATTCACAATTTTTTTTTATCTATAATATGTTGAATGTCTTGAAATTTAAAAAAACTAAAGTTGATGTTAAAAACTGTGCAAAACTTTGTTGATTTATGGAATGATATATTACGACATGTCTCTAATTTGAATTAAGATACATTGTATTTATTTTCATTTTTCTATTTGAATTGATCACCTATATTGCATAAGATCCGTTATTGCACATAAATGGTTACAATAAAATTTGTATTTTATATGAATACTATATAAATAAAATTGAGATGTAGTATTATAGATTCGGGTTGTGGGCACTTGAAACGCTTGCATCGGCCATACCGTACATGACTATAAATGAAAGAGAAAGCAAATAATAATAAAAGAAGCCTTTCTTAACTCTTGTTCAACTTTTCTGTTTCCATTCAACCATTAAGCTCAATCAACATCCGGGCTAGCAGGTGTGGCTGACCCCATTTTTTTTTTTTTTCGTTTTGTCCCTTGAGATGTGTCAGTTAAATATTTCAGCAGACACCAAATAAAAAGGCGTGACTAGAGACAAAACCATTAAAAGCAGGAAGGACAAGAAAGAAGAGACCGAACAAATTTAACTCAATTCTAAACCCGGCGACACACATTAAGACTCATCTTACAAGTTGAAGGGCCAAAGCTAACCAATCTTCCGATGACTCATGTTTTTTTCTGTTCTAGATTATACTGCTCATTATATTTTTAGTTATTTTTTATGCCTAACGACTTAGTCTCGCCGAATAATTTATATATGTAGTCACCATTTGGGTGATTGATAATAGATAGATAGATAGATCGATAGATAGATAGATAGATAGATAGATAGATAGATAGATAGATAGATCCTCTCGAAGAACAATTTGATTAAAGTAGTGACGGAGAAAAGACGATATTTACGAAGTTAAAATCAGTTACAGACCAAATGGTATGAAAGAAGATTGTGTTGCTACGAACCCCACCGCCTACACACCCAGATACGAAAGACCAAACGGAATCTCTTTGCAGCATGCACAACTTCATTGACTAGAGGCAACATGGCTGGTGATTATCCAAGAAATGATTTCTCCATTCAAATAAATCAATGAAACTTAACACATGTTCCCTAAACATATATTAAACATGCCGAGCTTCCATAGGATATAAACTATTTTTGTTACTAATTTAATTAAAAATTACATTTTATTTTAAATTAGACTCAATGAATTAAGTATTTACGAATATCTTCCAACGTAAATTCGAATTTTCGAAAATTTAATCCACGTAAAACCAAATTGAATTTTATTTTATTTTTATTTATTTATTGGTAATTTTTTCTTTTAAAGTCTTTTGGATTATTTCCTCAAAACATGAAGAGGCAACTTGAAGCAACAGAAATGTTGTTCTACAGAAGGATGCTGAGAATATCAAACGCAGAGAATGTGAGCAACAAAGACGTTTTAAGGAAAATCTAAACAAATGTACTCTTCAGTATCTGTTTATATTTCTGAGATGAGGTATTATGTACATTATTCTGTCTATTGTCATCTTTGTAGTTATATTTATTACAACGCTCCGGCCGTTGTACGCGCCGGCCTTCTTCAGGTGGTTGGAATGTCGAACTGAACCCTTTATTTCGCTCACTGGGGTAGACTGTTCTAGTTCCACGTGCCATGTTTAATGGATGTCAGTTATCAGTTATCTCCTGTTAATTTCCCTCTGAAAGTTCTCCACTGCCTTAACCGAGTATTGAACTCACACTCTTTGGGTCCTGTCATGTGTCCATTGTACTTATATCTGGGACTCATAAGAAGGAAGTAGGAGATTTTGGCATTCACAGGACATATTGAAAACAAGATGGACATAGGGAAGCTTACCCTACGATTTGTGTATCTGTGGTGACAGAAGAGGGATATTAAAGTGGCAAATATTATTTAAAGTTACAAAGGACAAGAAGTTGTGGAGACTCATAATCACCATCTTCTTGAACATACACAGCGCATAAAAATAGTTCACCTTTAGGCTTCTTTTTATTACAACGTTCTTTATCGATGGTGTCAGCAGCTTTTATTCAGTATATCATTTTTCCTTTACGTGTATTTTTTTTTCTTTTAACACAATTCTCTTTGTTCGACATGTGATCTTCAAATGTCTCTAAAGGTAGCCATTATCCATTAGGTCTATTTTTTGCTAACAAACAGAGGTGACAAATATGACACAATTTCTTTTTAATTGCAGAAAACCTGCCTAACGAGATTGTGTGAATGGGCAGCGGAACAAGTCTTGGAAAGGAGAGTAAGAAGCTAAATGTTACTTAGAGCTACAAATAATAGGAAGTTGTGGAGAGCCATGCACTTAAAGGACACGTGACATAAAAGAAAGACAAAGAAAAAGAAAAACCTTCATTGAAGGAGTGAAATTTACAACGATTATAATTGGATCTTTTACGTGCTTGTCATTGGATGTAAATGATTCCATCTGCTTCTGTTTATGCAGATCACAGGAAAATATTTTGTCTGCAAACAAATTTCAATCAGTTTCTCTACCGATGAGAGCAGCTAACAATGTTTTTTCCTATAATTATATAATATTATTTTATAATTTATATAATATCTGCTGAAATCGCATACAAACTAACTGTGCTCACTTCCAGTGTTTGGTCTCTGTATTTGTTCAATAAGTGTCCAATATTAGCAGCGGTTGCAAAGATTTCCTCAAGGGAGAATTCAGTTATTTCAAATCAGACCTCTATCAGGGCAAATAATGGTTTCGATGGTTGATTTTGTTTAGCATATCAACACCTCTATGGGTTATTTAATAGCGTAGTACAAATATTTTGAACGCAATTTTATGCCTCAAACTATAGATGTATTGTTGATCTTTTTGCTTTAAAAATGTATTGTTCGTAATAGATAGGTATTGTAACTTTACATAAAAAATATCTTGCTGGTATTTTTCCTAGAAGTAATTATTTTTATACTGAGTGTTTTTTTTTCTTTTAGTACTTCAGTATTTGCCCATAGCTGTGACACCTAACAGGTGCTACCACCCTGAATCAGGGTGAACCTAGGAACAACGGCAATTAAGAGGTTCGCTCCACGCTCCTCAAATCATCTAATCTAATCAGAGGCCTTGCTGCCGGATGTAGTTTCTCGTCATATCCGGGACTAACAAATACTGATTATTGGCGTTAATCTTCAACCTCGACTATAAAGTAACCTAGAATCTCTTATGATATTCTGGGCCAATATTAGAAAGTAAGATGCATTACTTTGAGAATAAAACTTTTAAAATAGCGACAATCGTCTGACACTTCCGTTCATTAGGATTTTCTAGCCACTATGAATAATGTACAAAAGTCATCCATCGGCTCTCCAAGAAACAGTTTGTCCTGACGGAAATAGACGTATTTATTTTTCTTAATCTTTAGCAATCATTTTAGTGAGAGATTCACAATAATACAAAAAATGCTCTCACCCAATTCATTATGGTGGACAAAAATTAGAATTTATCATTTATTACATTGCAATTTAAAAAACAGATAATCACAATTATTTTTACGCATAAGTCGCTTTTAATAATTAAAGGACGTGGAAAAGAGAAATTAACTTCTATCAATTAAACAACGTTAGTCGCCATATTCATATATATATTGTAATAAACAATGCTGTTATTCCTATCTATCAACCAATTTCTATATTTTCACATCTATCTATCTATCTATCTATCTATCTATCTATCTATCTATCTATGTCTGTCTGTCTGTCTGTCTGTCTGTCTATTTAGGTCTGTTTGCCAGCCTTTTCAAATCTATCTTTGTCCGTTTATACATCCTGGGAATGGGCACCTCGACGTAATGGTTAGATACCTTGTCTTGCTAGATCAATAATGACTGAGTAGTGAATTCAATCCTCACTGGGTGCTCCATACTTTCGGCTTTGTGCCACATCTAAGCCAAGATTGAAAATCACTATAAATACTGGGAGTAAAAGAAAATGAAAGATGCGAATGACTGCTCGGAAGATTGTAATCTTCCTGCTCTGGAATGTCTGGTTGCTTTGAAAAGATAGATAGATAGATAGATAGATAGATAGATACTCACAGAATCAGATAGATAGATAGATAGATAGATAGATAGATAGATAGATAGATAGATAGAAATAGAATATGAACGTAATGAAATAGATAAATTAGAACAACCATATATATATATATATATATATATGTGTGTGTGTGTGTGCGTGTGTGTGTGAATGCGTATGTGTGTGTGTGTGTGTGTGTGCGGGCAGATAGATGTGAAGAGATATCAACAGAATGAAACAGATAGATAGATAGATAGATAGATAGATAGATAGATAGATAGATAGATAGATAAGTATAAACAGACAGAGATAGATATATTTGAAGATAGATAAATTAGAACAAAATATATATATATATATATATATATATATATATATATATATATATATATATATGTAGATAGATAGATAGATAGATAGATAGATAGATAGATAGATAGATAGATAGATAGATTCATTCATACATACATACATACATACATAGATTAATACATATGAACAGGTTAGGATAGATAGATAGATAGATAGATAGATAGATAGATAGATAGATAGATAGATAGATAGATAGATAGATAGAAAGAACAATGGATGAGTTCTTTTCTGATATTCATTGTGATATCGTTGTTGAACTTGATAAGTATAAAAGGCTCCGAATGTCATCGAGGGAAGATAACAAATAAATTGAAAAGGAAAACAAAAAAAAAATGAAAAAGATGTCAACAGAAGAGCGTAAAACAAACACTGACAACAATAATAAGATGAAAGTTTATTTTTTAAATTATATTTTATATGGACTGCCGAGCCATTCAGTTCAAAGGGACACAACTCTTTATCAGAAATATCTTGTTACCCATTGTTATCATCATCAGATCTTTCTTATGGCCTCGTTTTATTGCAAAGATGGATAGAAATCATTCTACGGCGACTGTTCGTTTTTTTTTTTAATTTGTAACAAACGTTCTTAAAAGATACGACAAGCATTTTATACATTATGTAATTATCGTGAAAAATGCAACGCGGAATGTGCTTTTTGAATTTGCTTGTAAATTAAATTGGGCGCCATCTTTGTTGAGTCATGACCAGTTCGTGTTTCGCAGATTATAGAATTATGAGTGGGATTAGTTTATGCAGTCACGTGGCCATAATGGCGGGCAAAGAAACGAAAGGACGAAGGTGCGGCTTATGCTTTTTATAAAAAGCCTCAGCGAGGAATTTCAGCTCAAACAGAAGTTGAGTTGAAAAGAAAACGAAAGTGAAAAAAAAAGAAAGAATATAGTAACAGGAAAGAAATGGTAAATATTTAGAAAACAAAGAGGAACGATAAAGAATGACTATTTCGAATGTCATTAAAATAGATAATTATGCATCATATATATATATATATATAAGGCATCACAGTACTCAGTCAGCGTTCTTCACTTCACAAGTAAAAAAAATAACAGATGAACACAGCAATTTTTTCTTTGAAAACGACGGTAGAGTTCACGTAAATATATATATATATATATATATATATATATATATATATATATATATATAAATATATATAAACATAAAGATAAACCTACCTAGGTTTCACCTAAATGGATGTTCAGGGTAAAACTGGCAACAGAATATATAGCTTAAACCAAAAACAACCATGACCACGTGATAAAAAAAGTAAAACCAGTTAACACTCAACAACGAGTGTGGGGGTTACGGGTTACTTATTTTATTTAACAACGAAGAAAGAAAAACCTACTCTACTAACCAGCGTTCCCTATGTCTACACCTACTAAGATTTTCTGATTCTATATTTAATAAATTATTGGGTTCTTTATTGGTAGCAATAGCTAACTTTCAAATCACGATACTATAACCACCTTAGTAGTTTTAGTAATGAAACATACAAACACAGTACCACCTTATCCTCTTATGTATGGAAGGTCAAACAAGAAGATAATAAAGACCCCATTTTGAAATAGGATATATTAAAGAAATATCACAGGTATAAAGCAGGTGATAAATTTTGTTCCCTATGTACGGAGGAAAAGTTAGCTATTGCTACCAATAAAGAACCCAATAATTTATTAAATCTAAAGACGGAAATTCTTAGCAGGTGTAGACATCGGAAACGCTGGTTATTAGAATAAGTTTTCTTTTCGATCTTGAATAAAGAACATAACCCTTAACCCCCCCCCCCGTTGTTGAATCTTTACTGGTTTTACTTGTTTTTTTTTGTTTTTTGTTTTGTTTTTTTGTTATTTTTGTCACGTGGTCATGGTTGTTTTTGGTTTAAGCTATATATTCTGTTTCATTTTTATCTCCTTGGACAGTTGTACCCTGAGGATCCGTGTAGGTGAAACCTAGGTAGGTTAACCTAGCTCTTTAGGTTTATATTCAGGTTTGCTCTACTCCGTGTATTGAGCACTTTACGTAGTTACTTTTAATCGTTTTGGAGGGTTTTTTTTCTTTAGACTCTGAGCTTGAATTCTGGGCGATTATTTTCGCCTTAATTTCCTCTTCTTAGTTCTTTCATTTTTTTATTCCTCATTTTTCATTGGGTATTGAATCGTTCAACTACAAGCCAAAATACGTAAGGTTTTTTTAAGCGAGTACATATATATATATAGTTAAAGAGTTTCTATGTATTAAGACGACAGAAACCGCAAATGTTTTTAGTTATAAAGTGGATATATATATATATATATATTTTATTTTGCATATTTTTGCTACACGTGTTTCCGGTCTCGCGACCTTCTTCAAGCAAAGAATATATCTTTCCACATATTATTGAAAGGAATATATTTTCCTTATGTTTTTCGACGTCCAACCATTGTCTGTTTTGTTTAGTAATAAACCTGATGCCTTTCACCAGTTCAAGAAAGACATCAAGATTACTACTACATATAAATATATATATATATGCATATATATATATATGCATATATATGTATATGTGTGTGTGTGTGTGTGTGTGTGCGCGCGTGCTTGTGAGTATGTCTGTCTATGACTTTATGTAAGTAATTACTTAATAGGTTTGTGGTGAATTTCACCTGAGAGCCACTAGTAAATATTTGCTTTCAAATAAAAGCGCGAGAGACAAAATGAAGCTTCGTAAATTGTTCTCTGTCTGTCTGTTTGTTTATCTATCTATCTGTCTCCCGCTCTCTCATTCGTTATATATATATATATATATATATATATATATATATATATAATCCGTTGGTATATAATTCAAGTGAATCGTAATAATATAAAATATTAAAACTGATCCACAAAGAGACATCAGTGTATTTATTCAAAATAGCATATAAATTACATACAATAGCAATTAAAATTAAAAAATGGCCAAGAAATTATATTAAATAATACATTTTTAATATAGCATAATTAGTTTATATATATTTTATTTCTAATATAAATATATAATTTTATCTTTGAATACTGAAGTTATAGTGTTTTTGTTAATATAAGTTAAAAGATTTGCTGTTTTATTCCTGATAGAAACCGAGATGTATCTTCTAATATAAGTCAAGGTGATGTCTACATGTATCTGCCTCCTGCTACCATCCTCTTGTCTAGACGTTAATAGCCTTTCTTTACCTCCTTCGTCCTCTCTTTCTTTATTGTCTTTTCACTATTTCTTTTACTCTTTCTTTTTTTCCATTTTTCTTCCCTTCTTTTCCTCTGTCTTGTTTTAAAAATTTGTTTTACGCCTGGTTTCATTTCATTTAGTTTTATCTTATTACCTCGATCGGTTTGAAAATCCTTACAGGTAATCTCCATCTGTAAGGTGAAATGATCACAATTATGAGGTAATTTTAATTCCTATTGTATGTTTATATATATATATATATATATATATATATATATATATATATATAAACGAAGGAATGGATATTTTATTTAACATATATCTTAATACTTAAACGTTGTTTTTTATTGTTAGTTCCGTTCATTTATTAAATAATATATTTATTTATTTTAGTCTACCGACCTGAATATTCTAGATATCTTTGGCAGGATTCAAACATCCGGACCCCTAAGAGAAACCGTTATTAGATCTGACGTGCTTTGACTTCTTAGCTACGGAGTGCGTAACTGTCCAAGCAAAGTTTGTATAATATCTTTAAGCATTAATTTTTCTCCGATTCTCGAAATAGTCATATCCCAAATTGAACATAGCAAATTCTAAAGAAATGAATGGATTTTTTATTTATTAATCCGACAGATTTTTATTACTTAAACTTTATTTTTAGTCGATATTCGTGTTTGAGTAGACGTTCCATTTCTGTCCCTTCACATATAATTTTTAAATTTTATGATATAAACATACACGTGCAGTAAAATCAAGCGAGTTTACTAAGTTATTGAAAAGTTTTTACAAAACTATTTAAAGCTATTAGTTATAACTTAGAACTGCCTACTATAAAGATTTTAAAACATTTGCACAGTATTCATAATTAACTTCATTAAGTGTTGTTTTCAATTGTTTAATAGCTTCAAGAATTGATAGTTTATGTTTATTATTTTCACGAAAAAGTATAGATATATTTTCGATAGGAGTATTTCTTAATTGCGAAGGTGGACGGCATGCTGCTGTAAATGTTGAGAAATGTTAGACGCATCATTCAAATAGGAACTCATTTTTCTAGACAACGTAGTTGTGGTGTGACCAAAATATATTTTATTTTTCTGTTGGAGATCTCTCAAGAGACATTTACATTTATATATAATGTTGGTTTTCTGCAATACGTTAATTGGTGCGTGGAGTCATTACAAATGATTAAATTGGATATATTGCATTTAGTATAATATATAATGATTTTTACTTTTTTTTACTAGGATCTGTGTTGGATATATTAGCATTTATTAATTGTTTTAGGATATTTTCGATATGTTTAAGATTATTTGAGGAAGCATTATATTCTATTTGTTTCATATTAAAATTTCTAATACAACGTCTTATTTGTTTGTCGACAATATAATTAAAACATGCTGGCAAAACATACGCAATGTATATATATATATATATATATATATATATATATATATATACATACGAGGTTGTGGCAGAAATACCTCCCACATATACCTCCTAGAAATACTGCCTACGTAATGGTATGACATTCGCTAGATGAATATGCCATTGTGACTAATGTCTTACTATCATGTGAGAGGTATTTCTGCCGCACCCACGTATATATATATATATATATATATATATATATATATATATATAAACACACACGCACACACACACACACACATATATATATATAGACAGAGAGATGTGTGAATATTCGTCAGTTTGTAAATCTATCTTATATATATATATCTGTAAAACACATGCATATATATATATATATATATATATATATATATATATATATAGAGAGAGAGAGAGAGAGAGAGAGAAAGAGAGAAAATGTGTGAATATTCGTCAGTTTGTGAGTGCAAATCTATCTTATATACATATTATATATATATATATATATATATATATATATATATATATATATATATATACGCAGATGTGCGTGAGTGGGGGGTTGATGTATATTTTAATGGGCATGCATTTGTGCGATGTTATAAAAAGTCAAAATAAACAAAAGCAGAAAAAAAAGACAAAATGCCCGTTGGGATG